TTAATATTGTTAATATTTCATAATAAATATTGTCGTCATCATCATCATCATTAGAACATTTTCTCAACTATTTTTGAACCCGTTATATGAATCCTGATCTACCATTCTGCTCTATCAAAGACTACCTTTAGTGAGGCTATAAATCCACATATTTTTTTTCACTACTGCCAACCATATCCTTTTGGGCCTACCTATTGTTTTTTTAATGACATAATAAAATTATTATTATTATTATTATTCCAAATATTTGTTATGAAATATCACCAACATTATTGATATTAGTATTATAATAATATAATATAATAATATTATTTATCATGAAATATCTAAATTATTAATATTGGTATTATATTATAATAATATTATATATTATAATATAGTATTATTACATAATAATAATACTGTTTTATAATAATAATAAGAATATTATTATTAAATATTTATTATTAATATTAATATTAATAAATATTCAATATAAAATTCTATAACTAGAAAATAATGGGATTGTATACAATGAAACCATTTGTCTTTAGTACAAGGTGGTCACAAATACTTACAACCATCCGATGTGAAATTTGATAGCTTAGGTGTATCACAAAGTTCGAAAAATTTCTTTCGAAGTTTGAGCTTGGTCATTGGAATAAATGTAGCTACCCAATTTCATATCCAATGGTCAAGATAAAATTGTGACCACGTTGTACCAAAAATAAATGGACCCGGTTGCTATGCAGCCAAACCCGCATATGTAGAACTGCGGGCCTATTAATAAATATATTTTTGAGATGTAATTTTGGACTTAATTTTTAAGGACATGTAATATTTAACATGGAGATCATGAATATGAAATAATAAGCAAATTTTAAAAACTATAAATAATAATTCTAATAAGACAGTTATGGGCCGTCTGCGTACCTGAAATCAATTACATGACAATAGATTACAAGAAAATATGACACACTGTTTGGGTAGACTTTAATAGTAAGGAAATGGAAAGAGATTACCCGAGATTTCTCCAAAAATCACAAAACCCATTAATCGGGGTGAAAAATCTATCACGCATCTTGACGAGTAATCTTTGAGAAATATTTCGCTCGCATCGAAACCCATTAAGCGGGGGTGAAAAATCTATTAAGCGCCTTCACGGGTAATCTGAAACCCATTACGCGGGGTGAAAAATCAATTACGCGGGTCAACGGGTAAGGAAATATTTCGCTCGCGTCTCTCTGCCCTATTCCTGCTTTAAAACATATCTTTGGGAAACCTTTGGTTTGCATAAGTGCGCCCTTCCTCTCTCAGTGCACCTCTATCTCTTGAGCCCTAATAACTAGTTTGCATAACCTCTTTCTCTATTTGAGCTTTTTCTGCTAACCTGAAGAGAGAGAAGTAGCTAACCTGAAGAGAGACATCTCTCAAGCCCTAATAACTAGTTTTCATAACTTCTTTCTCTATCTGGACTTTTGCTGCTAACCTGAAGAGAGAGAAGTAGCTAACCTGAAGAGAGAAGCAAGAGAGTCTTGGTAAGCCCTACATAATCATAATAAAATTTAAAAATTTCACGTAACATAATCATTATAAGAGATTAGTAAAAGCTCAAATGAAACAAGATACATATTTAATCGCCTCCAACGCCTCCAAATTTTCCACTGCAATTACCTAATCTAGTTTACTAATCAAACTTCTTCCCATTTTTTAACTTGTACTATAAAATGTTTGAATTTGGTATCATAAATTTATTGTTAATTTGAAATTATATAAATAGACATTTGAAAGACTTTTATAAATAAATAAATAAAAATAAGGCATATCACAATAAAATCATGTTATTCCAATTATTTATCATGTTGAAACCAAAGTCTAATCATGTTAGAAGACATGTGATTCCATGTAAGCGCCAAAGTCATGCAAAATAAATATAAAATGGTGTCATCATGACTTTAGAATAGTACAAGTTATTATTAAAAAATCTTTTTGAGATAGTGATGATGTTATTATTAGAAAATCTTTTTGGAATGGTGTAATGATGATTTTAATTCCGCATTTCAATGAAATTTTGTGACAAAGAAAGAAAGAAATGATAGTTTATAAGCAAGTGTTGATAAAATGTTGGTAATGCATTCCCATATTTCTTCCCGACATAGCCAAACAATAGTAATGTATTTCTCAAGTTGCATCCAAATACTACTCAAACAGTAACAATTTATTTGCACGTAATGTATTATGCAGTAATATATTACACCAGTAATATATTTCACAGACAATATATTTCCATGTTTCCAAACGGCCCTTTAGTTTCTTTTGTTTTTAGATGGAAGACCTACTTGCATCCATCTTTTAAGATGGATGTTTTTAGTTTCTATTGTTTTTAAGATGGGACGCTTTACACTTTTTGAACCGCATATGTAGTCATGCACTCCAGCCCGCATAAAATAATTTTCCAAAATAAATAGTCTCATTGTGCACTTTTTCTTAAATAATATCATTATTGCGAGGAATGAGAAAGAAAAAGAGGAGATGGCATGCACCCCAAAGCAAAAGATAACTTTTTCAAACCTTGCATTTGCTCATTCCAAACTTTTTTTAGAATGAGCAAATGCTGGATACGAGAGGTTTTGAGAATGTAAATTTCCAATCTCCAAAAATATACCTTAGGGTGTCAAAACCTGCATTTGCAAAATAAGGATCTGCATCTCCTAGGTACAAAACGACCCATTAGTTTCATTTATACTTGTTTATGTCATATTGTTGCCTTTCGAGAAGTGAGTTCATCAATTTATAGACAAGGAAAAGCTAGACACATTGGACACCATTGAAAGTTGGTAAAAAGAGAACCACTTATTAGAATCTTAGATAACTTTGCCTAACTAGTGTTCATGTATAGGTTAAAAAACATAGAGAATCAACTTCTCGACACTTTTGGTT